GCCAGCGTTGCCTCTCGGATAGCGGCGGCGGCCTCGCGGTCCGCCAAGCCCCTCTCCACGGCGCCGGCGTGTTCCTCCAATGCCATAGCACGGGCCTCAAGGGCCTCCTCGCGACGCCGGGACGCCGCTTCGATCTCCGTTGCCCGCCGCTCTCGGGCAGCGGCGGTGTCAAGGACCCCTTGGGCGGCGTCGAGCTTTTTCTTTAGCTCCGCCTCCCAGCTCCCGTGTTGAAGGCGGAGGGTGTCCTGCGCCTCGATCATCGCGGTGGTGGCAATGAGGGCGACCTCCCGCTCCTCGTCCACCTCTCGGGCGATCTCTGCCAGCGCCGCTTTGCGGGCTTCAAGCTCCGAGACGTGACGGCGGTGAGCCTTACGGCCCACCTCCACCATGACATCCACCGAGCGCCGCCCCTCCTCGACACGCGCCCATGCGGCCTCGAGCTCCGCTCGTTCCGCTCGCAGGGCCTCCACTTGGGCGCTGAACCCATCTAGCACCGCGGTGTTTGCGGCGGCCAAGGCCTGCAGAAGGGGCTCGGCGCTCAGCGGGGCGACAGAAGACGAGGAGAAGAGCCGCCTTGGAGAGAATGCGACGCGGCTCGGCCCGCCGGAGGACGCACTGGGCTCGGGAATGTCCCCCGGACCCGTTTGGTCCTAGGCGTCGCCTGGGGAAGTGCGCCCAGGCGATCCGCCCGCGGCCTCGTCGCGAGCCGCCCCGGAGGCTGTCGTCTGAGCGTCGCCCGAGGGAGTGGGCCCAAGCGACGCGCCAGCAGCTTTGTCGTGAGCTGCCTCGGAAGACGCCATCGCCTCAGCCTGACGAGCCCGGGCGGCCTCCTCCTTAGCAGCTTCTTCGGCTTGGCGAGCCCGGGCGGCCTCCTCCCGAGCGGCCTCCCGGGCGGCCTCTTCAGCTTCCCGAAGGCGATCTGCGGCCTCTCGCCGGTCAGATTCTCGCCTCCGTTCCTCTACGGCCCCCGGATCTTCGGCCTCGGACTGGCCGGACTTGGGATGGCGGGAGGAACGTGACGGGACATCGCTGAAGCAAAAGAAAAAACCAGAAGACAAGCAAGATAGGTAAGAGAAAACTTGCTTTTGGGATAAAAGAAAGGCGGTCGCAATGAGAGTGGGACGAACCTGCGAGGGGGTCGGTTAAATGACCACCTTGGAGGGGAAATCAGGTTTCCCCGGGATGGTTCCGTCTCCCCCATCTTGCGGAGCCGTTTCTTCTTGCGCTCCCCCTCGGGCTGCGATGTCGGCGCGGCCCCCTCCGGGTGCCGACTGCTGGCACGCACCGCCCCGCCCCCTCGGGGAGGAGATGGGGGAGGTGTTCCTCCCAGCTTCCTCTTCCCCTGGGCGTCGGCAGGGCGGCTGCTCCCCGAGCCCCCGACGCGGGGCCCAGAAGCACGACCCCCTCCTGGGGTAGATTGTTCCCCCCGGCGGCTCTCGCCCGCGCCGTCGTGGCCCTTAGGAGTTTCTTCCTCTGAGGCCCCGACCCCCATCATAATGGTCAGAATGGAGGCGCGGTCGGGATCGCTGCAGAGGGGGAGGATACCTTGAGGAATGAGAGACGTCTCCACGGAGCTGAGATTCAGCACCCTTTGGACCACGATCTTGAAGTCCTCGGGAGCCCAATCCCATCTGACTCCCTGGTGGGTCCGCATGTAGTCTTCGGACCCGGTGTACTCCCAGGCGCCCCGGGCGCGCCGTTGGAGCGGCGCAATCCGGCGACGGAGGTAGTCGCCGTACACCATGGCCCCTGTGAGCCCTTGGGATCGCAGGCCCGCCAGGCGGTCGAGGACGGCGTCATAGTCATCCCCCAGATCTACCGGCGCCCGCCAGCTGGAGACCTGCGCCGGGGGCTGACTTGGAAGTCGGAGGCGCGCTTCGTTGGCGAGGGGGGTGTAGAACCAGTCGCTCTTCCAGTCGTCCCACTTCTTGCGGAGGGCGCAGGGGATGTAGCGGTTCAACACCGGCCCCCGCGGCTGGAAGTAGCAGCCACCAACCACCGACGGCGGCGACACCGACTGCACGGTGAAGAACCACCGGAACAGCCGAAGAGATGGGCGCACCCCAATGAACATCTCGCACAGGTGCGTGAAGATGGCCAATGTCATCACTGCATTAGGGGTGAGGTGCGCCATCTGGAGATCGTAGAAATCCAGAACATCCATAAAGAAAGAAGAAAATGGCGGAACCAGCCCTGCCATTGCGAAGGGGAGGAAAAAGACGGACCGCCCCGGGTAGTCTGGTGCCGGGCGTCCCTCGCCCAGCATCACTATCTCCCGGCCGGTGGCAGATTCCGGCATAAAGCGGCGCGGCAGCCCGGCATGCCTCTCGCTCACGATGCGAGAAGGCGGAAGTACGCTTCCGTCGAGCAGAGCGGAACCCCGAGCCATGGCGCCGGAGGAAGGGATGATTGAGAGCGAGCGCGTGTGGCGAAGGTAGGGCGCAGCAGAGAAAGAGTTAGGGCTCAAGCGGCGAAGGCAAGAGGAATAATGGCGAAAGGAAGGGAGCAAAACTTTTCCTCGGTATTTTTATACCCTTGCCATAGCTGGGCCCGGCTCCTCGTTTCTCGCGCCCACTATCTCGCTCCCTCGTTTCTCACTATCTCGCTCCCTCGTTTCTCGTGCCCACGCTTCCACTAATCCCATTCGCCCGCTTGCGGCGCATGAGGTGGATATGCGATTGTGGCAGTCGAGATAGGTCGTATCGTGCGCGCATTAATTACGCTCGCCGGCCGAAGCGACGTTACCATATCTCCAGGCGAAGCAAATCAGCTCACCCAGATTCGTGCGCTGCTTAGGTGATGTGGCAGTCTTAAAGAGACCGCCCATTATGAACAGCCAAGTTACCATTACCGATGTGCATGGTTTGAGACCGTTGGGTTTCTGCGCAACCATGAAAACCGGTCCCACCTGTCACCAGGCTTTAGGAGTGGCGTTACGCCCGATCGCTTCCCTTGAGAAGGGCGATCGCCCTGGCATAACGCCGGGGACTACTGTCGGTGATATGGGACCGGGAGTATCGTGACCAGAGGCTTGAGGCAGACACAATCGCCCACGTGGCCTGGCACCTTCGGGGACGTCGGGCCCGAGGGTGAGGTGTCCGCCCTTCTCCTGATTTCCCCGAGGGGGGTCGGGTGACTCCTGCCCCGGCCCCGAGGGCCGAGGCGCCCCGACCCCTTGTGGAGTTAGCGCCACATGAATGGGTTGGGTGAACACGGTGAGCCTCACCTAACCGCATTTATTGCGGTCTGGTCGAACGTGTCACGCTGCATGAAGCACAGTGCAGCGCGTTCCTTTATCCGGTCTGTGACCGGTCACAGACCGGTCAGATCACGGGTTAGGTGGCGACTGGTGGTCTGACGCACGCCTTGCCCCATCCCGTCAAGACGAAAGCCTCTAGGCACTCGTCTCAAGCCGGAGCTAGCGTGTAATCTCTTAGAGATGGCACGTTAGCCCTGGTTAGATTTATACCAGGCTTCATCTCAACCATTACAGCCTATATGTTGTATGAAGAAGGGTGAACATGCAGATTGTTGAACTGACGCGTGGAGGACAAGAATGACCAGTCTGACACTGGTCATGTCGTCGGCAGACAGTCACGTTCCCACGACGCGCCTGTCTTCGGCAGAAGTGGATGTAGGTGTGTGCCGTCCCGTCAGAAGGATGTTCGGAGGACAACCGTGCAAATCTCCGTCCATTTATGAAGAGAAGAAAAGTCCAGTTTGGAAAGAGAGGGGTGCATGTGGTATCCCCTTGAAGTATAAAAGGAGGACCTTGCCCATAGGGAAAGGGGGATGATCTTTTCCAGATTCGGAACTTAGAACAAGTAAGAGGTTGGCTCACACTTTGTAGCTCCCTCATACACAGATCCACCAAAACACAGGAGTAGGGTATTACGCTTCTTAGCGGCCCGAACCTGTATACATCGCCCGTGTCTCGCGTTTCTTCCTAGCTGGCGATCTTTTCACATACTGAGAGAGCTTGAGACTTCACCCTAAGCCCCCGGCCGAACCGGCAAAGGGGGGCCTGCGCGGTCTCCCGGTGAGGAGCCACGAGCTCCGTCAGCTATCTATTAAAAGTAAATAAAAGAACAGTACGACCGTATGGTTTGTCTAGTTAACCCTGCGGCTTACAACAGGTATAACAGCAGACTATAAACCAGCTATAAGCGCATATCGAGAAGATAAAAGAAGAGAAATAAGAACAGTGGGTTATAAATCTATAGCCAACCGTACCACAGACTCTAAGACACAATTTGTGTATGATAGGTGGGACCATGTATTAATAGTGTAGTATATATTTATAGATAACTATTATATGAATTGTGATTATAGTTGATTTGAAGCTAGTAGTCGGCTACTTGCTCTTAGAGCAAGTACAATAGCAAGGTATAAGCTAGCTATAATACATATCGAGAAGAAAAGGGAAGAGAGAAAGCGGGCTACAGATTTATAGCCAGCTATAACACGGATTATAAGACGTTGTGTGTGTATGAGAAGTGAGACCAGGTATTAATAGTGTACTATATTTTTATAGGTAACTATTATATAAATGGGCTGTTAGATTATCTATAGATGATTTGGAGTTAACATTTAGTTATACTACTACCTCCGTCCTAAAATATAGCTATTTCTAGCATAGTGTCTTGTCCCAAAATGAAGCTAGTTTTTCACCTATCTCAATCTCTCAACCAATCACAACTATTGTTCTTCACTTACCTTTTCTTTTCGACCAATCACATACGTTTTCCAATCATTCTTATCTACTTTTTTAATACCCATATCAAACTTAAAAATGGCTATATATTTTAGGACGCAGGAAGTATTAAACTTGCTCTTACATGGAATTATTAGCGTGGTCGTTTCGCGTGAACTCCACCCGCAGACGCAGACAATCTCCGCCAGCGCCAAAGCCGGACATGCCGACGTGGCGAGCAATGTGGGGCCCACCATCTGACTCATCCCCCCTAAACCCCCCCACGGCCCACCGCCTCTCCTCCTCCTCCTTCCTCGATCTCTCCCTCCCTCCCTCCGCTCCCAATCATGGCTACCGCCACCGCCGCCTCCCGCCTCGCGGTGGCCGGCGCTGAACCCGCTCGCGCCCGGCGCCACCGCCCGACGACGGTGGCAGTCTGCGGGGGCGCGAGGCCGAGGTCGCGCCCCGCGGCCGTCGTTGCCGCCGCCGGCGCCGCCGCTCCCTCTCCGGCCACCGGCGGCGTCGCGCCGGTTCCGCCAAGCCCCAGGGGCTCGTAAGATCCGTACCTGCTCGAAAATTATTTTTGTTGGTCCGGTTTGATTTGGGTTTCTGGGCGTTAAGGACTACGGAAATGGGAGCTCCCCTCCATTTTGATGGAACTCTCGTCGTATCCGGGTTGACCTGATAGTGTATAGATAGAACTGATCCTATCTTTTATTTCTCCCCGTCTCGTGTCGCCGTATCGGATCGATTATGGTGTTAGGGGTGTGGAATTCGGGGATTTAGCATTCCGTTGTGAAATCTGAAATGGTTCGTTCTGAGCAGTCATTTCTGTAGCGCCTGAGCATAATTGACCAGAATTACAATCATTTTTCAAATCAAGCATTCATTATTGGGTGTTTGTGACATGCTTGTTTGCATTTGTTGCCCACAAAGCCTGTAAAGTGACTTACGTCGGAGTCCAGAATATTAGCTGCTGAATGGCAATTCTCGTAAGATGATTTAGTTGCACAGAACATTTGTTATTTGTTTGGTCCATGTCAATGAAAATTGTATAACAGTATCTTTCAGTTATGCAACCCCTTTTTTCTTCTGAAGACTAGTTGTGTTAACAAAGGGACCAACTTTCAAGATGTGTATAATATGCTTTTTCTGTTAAGGTTGATTTAGACAACTAAGAAGCTTTCCATATTTATGTATGTATATGATGAATTGATGACCATGTAGGCCTTTGAACCAGAGTCTAGCACAACTCCTCTTTAACATTTCTATGATGATTTCTTCAACATCAAACGGCAACAATAGTTTCTCAAGCAACCTTTTAATATACCTCTTTGCATATGTATACCTAAAGAGATCACCAATTGTTATACATTTCTATTGAAGATTGCAATCAACACAGTTTTGTCGTCCTTTCATGTTTTTTAGGACTTCCTTTTAAGTTATAAATAATAGCATCTGCCATATAGAAATGTTAAAGATGCCTGTATTAGTTCCATTTTGATCTATATTTTTTTCTATGTTTATCTTGTAGGATTATAAAGCGTCATACACTATCAGTTTTTGTTGGAGATGAAAGTGGGATGATTAATCGAATTGCTGGAGTTTTTGCTAGAAGAGGATACAACATTGAGTCATTGGCAGTTGGGCTGAACAAGGACAAGGCATTATTTACAATAGTAGTATCTGGAACTGAGAAAATACTGAAACAGGTTGTAGAGCAACTAAACAAACTTGTTAATGTTATACAGGTCAGTATTTTCCTCCTTATCATATGAATTCTAAGATGTTTGCTGATTAATAGTAGCAAGAGTGACTGTACTAACTCGTTCATTCTTTCCAATATATCTGATATTCATAGCCTAATGTGAATGCAACTAGGTTGACGATCTGTCGAAGGAACCACAAGTTGAAAGAGAGCTAATGCTTATAAAACTAAATGTTGAGCCAGATAAGCGACCGGAGGTATGACTGCACAACCTTATGAGAAAACCATCTGGGGATTTATATTTGTGCTGTGTTTTTGATTTTACAACTTTCATAATGTCTGGATTTTTTTACTCTATCTGCATTTTCTGGATTTACCTTAAAAAGGAGCACTGAATACTGATTACTGAGTTGGTGCAAAATTTAAAGAATTAAGTGGATAATGGACGAAACATTTGCACATTTACAAATTACAAATGTCAACTGGATTTGCAAAGCTGCAAATCTACATGCTAAACCTTGTTTATTTATTTATTTGTTTATCTGCTTTTACATGTAGGTGATGGGTTTGGTTGACATCTTCAGAGCAAAGGTGGTTGACCTTTCTGACCACACACTAACTATTGAGGTAATCCTATGTTTATCTTACCTTGCAGATCACATCGACCATAATTCTTGTGGTTTTTATGAAAGAAAAAAAATCTTCTTTTTTTTTTTCATGTTGAAGGTAACTGGAGATCCTGGAAAAATTGTTGCTGTACAGAGGAACCTAAGCAAATTTGGAATCAAAGAAATTGCCAGAACTGGCAAGGTTAAACTTCTCCAGAAAGAGGCTAGAAAAATATGCTCTTTTCATCTCTCTATTTTTATGTAATAAAACTTATTAATGCAACAGATAGCTTTGCGGCGTGAGAAAATGGGAGAAAGTGCTCCTTTTTGGCGGTTCTCTGCAGCTTCCTATCCTGATCTTGAAGTGGCAATGCCATCAAAATCTCATGTCAACACTGCGATGAAAACAGCTAACCAGAATTCTGAAGAATCTTCACAAGTATGACACATCAATTATCCTCGTTCATGTGAACTCAGCCATGATCTCTCTTTAATTTCTTCAGAATTGTAATAATATATTTTATACATATATTACTCTATGGTGTTGTTCTAACTTTCCCATGCATGCTAAACTGTCGAACACTCATAATATCTTCAATATTTTTCTTTCCAATCAAGTTGTAGTTTTTATTTTTTCAAATTGATCTTATTAATGCTCTCCTGCTGCTCATTCCATGAAGTTTGATACTATAAACCATTTTATTCTTTGCAATATATTACTATCATTATGTGTTAAGGCTGAGTTTAGTTCGGCCCAAAGTTTGGAATTTGGTTGAAATTGGAGACGATGTGACTGAAAAGTTGTGTGTGTATGAAAGGTTTGATGTGATGGAAAGTTGGAAGTTTGGAAAAAAACTTTGGAACTAAACAGGGCCTTATTCCCGTGCATTCATTCTTTTTTTATTTTGGGAATCATTTATGCATCCAGGACTGGATGCATTATTTAATTTGTTGTTCCTGACTAATGTCAGCATTGTATTGAACAATATTACCTTAATTAGAAATATTTAAAAGTGTTATCTATCTTAGCATAACTACACGGTAGGCTGATATTTCAGAATTGTAAAACTGAGTATCGCTGTTTAGAAAATGATCATGGGTACTGTGTTGCATGCACTAATATGGGTTGTTATCATTACCAGGATGTTCATTTGGATTTTGACTATTTTATATGTGATTATCTTCTTACTCCTAGGGTGATGTCTATCCAGTGGAGTCATATGAAAACTTCACAACAAATCAAATTCTTGATGCTCATTGGGGTGTCATGGCTGACGGTGATGTAAGTTCTTGTGTTCTGAATTGTTTGGTTGCAGCTACCCTCACCTCCATCTAGTTCTGCACTTCTACACTGAATTATGTATTTATTTTGACTGACTTGTAATACTGAATTTAGTGTATACCCTCGAACTAAGCTAGCATAATTTTGCTGCTTCAGCCAACAGGGCTTTGTTCACATTCTTTGTCCATTTTGGTGAATGATTTCCCTGGAGTTCTCAATGTTGTAACAGGTGTTTTCTCCCGAAGAGGCTACAATATTCAGGTTCATTTCCCCTTGTATATTTTATGTTGTCTCACTTAGACAACTGCAGGTTTCTAGGTTCCACTGAATGCTAAATAATTTCATCACTTGACAGAGTCTGGCTGTTGGCCCAGCTGAAAAAGAAGGCACTTCTCGGATCACTACTGTTGTCCCTGGAACTGATGAGTCTATTGCCAAGCTAGTACACCAACTGTATAAGCTCATTGATGTTTATGAGGTAAATCCTATTCACTTTGTGGTTTGCATGGTTATTGATGCTGATGTAAACTTAGCTCAAATTTTGTTTGAATTTTCAGGTCCAGGATCTTACTCATTTACCATTTGCTGCTAGAGAGTTAATGATCATAAAGATTGCTGTAAACACCACAGCCCGCAGGGCTATCCTAGATATTGCTGATATTTTCCGGGCCAAAACTGTGGATGTATCAGATCACACCGTAACTCTTCAGGTAATAGTCATGGGCTATTTTTACATACACCCACCTCATTGGCCCTTATATCTTACTGATCTTTGAAACTATTATAATTATCAGCTTGATGTAAGATATTGAGATAGACTAGAGAAAATCTCTCTAGTGTAGCTTTCAATTAGCTGATGCTAATTTCAATATAGATCCTTGAACATAAGCTATCATTTTTTCTTGAAATATATATGGCGGGAGCCTCTCCCGCAGTTTTGATTCAGTAAAGAAAATCAATATAGGTCAAATAGAGACAATGCTATTAGGAAATGATGTAATTTGTTGATTTGGATTGATTTGAACATTATGAATTTATGCTTTTTTACACCAATGAACAATATACCTGATGACTGAATCATCTCCTTTAGTATTTGCATGAAGTAGTTTTGAGGGCAATGTATCCATTCTGGCACCAATTGCTTTTCTGTCAAATATTTTTCCTTAATAGTTTGCTTGCATGCAACAATTGTTTTACCATTCAGAAAACTTTTAAGTTTACGGATGATCTCAATTTCTGAATGTCATGAATTTTATATTTTTTGCACATTAGTGAACAACATAATCTCCTTTTTAGTAGTTTTTATGAACTAGTTTCAAGAGCCAACTAATCATATTGGCACCAATTTGTTGTGTTATATATTTTTCCTTAATAATTTGCTTGGCGAACAACATTGTTTTGGCATGCAGCTTACTGGAGACCTTGATAAAATGGTCGCATTACAAAGGATGCTCGAGCCCTATGGCATTTGTGAGGTTTGTATTGAGCTTATCACTTTGCATCTTGCACCATGTTTTTCAACCAACAGTAGTGAATCCAACGTAAATCATAGTTCAGATGGTTGCAATATATTGCTCTTGATCCTCCTCTTTGCAGGTTGCACGAACTGGCAGGGTTGCGTTGCGCCGTGAGTCAGGAGTCGATTCCAAATACCTCCGTGGGTTTTCCCTTCCTCTGTAGTTTGTTTGTCAGTTGGCAAAGAGGTCATCCCCATCTTGTCATTTCGATTCAATTTTGTTCTCTTCTGTTAGAATCACAATCTTGAAGTGATAGAATCATTCGAAAGCAATACAATAAGAAAATAGTGGTCACAGTTTGTGTCAGTTGTATTAGAAAAGATTCAATAAAAGTATTTGAGTTGGCTCAAAATTGTTGTATCTGACCATTAAAGCTGTTTATTTTTCTAGTTCTTATATTGCATAGTTTCTGGCTTTCTGCGTATTTGGGTGAATCCGTGTATGGAATTGTTCATTAGGGTGTTTTCAAGGGTGAATTTCATCGTTTCGTATAAGTTTTTTTTTTAAAAAAATACATGTATTTTGGTTGAATGAATAGGATGAGATGATTTGGATACAATTTTTTTTAATACTCCTGAGATCTCGCATCGTTCCATACACTAAAAAAAATGTGCATCACAGTGTCCCGGATGGCTCGCAACAGAGCTTATGTAATAGCTCAGCATCTGCTTTGGTCTATCAGCAACTTTACGAGATTTTTGCAGTATTATTTAGAGTATTTACTCCACGTCTCTAGAACTACGTTTTCTTAAAAGAAACATTGTTTTGTTGTATTGTTTAGAACTTATTTTAATCTATCTGTTAAATTTATTTATTAAAATATTTAATTCATCGTTATAATCAAGGAGGCAATGCGTGGCAAATAATATGATCGAATTATTAGTGGTGTTGTGATCGAGTCCTTTCAGAATTTAAATCACGGCGCAAAAAAATTACGCACAAGCAAGTGAGCTTCTAGCAGAAATTTAGTAAGATCAGGAGTGTGTATCATTGGTTTTCGTCTCTTTAAGCGTGTGTTCAAAAGAGTATTTACAGATACGTGAGTATGGTGTTACGTGTATAGTGGTGTATATCTATCATGTACTTTATGAAAAATATACCATGAATAACCTGTTTTGCATGGAAAAGGGAGGTGTATATGGATGTTTGAAACAGAAAAGAGAAGGACGATTTTTTTGCCTCCCACCCAAACACCCCCATAGTGTACAGAGAGCAGATGGACTTCAATACCAGAGCAAGCAATTGGCCACCATGGTTCATGGGTTTCACCTAACAGAAAGTAGCAACAAGGGACAACCCACCCATACCGACATAGGAGGATTTACTACTGGCAAAAGACCGTCTCGTGAAAACGCCACAGGTGCGCAACGAGGAGCATAGGGAGGAAAGCGAACTGGAGGAAGAGACGGGGGAAGCCACGTCATTTGATGGAAATGGAAGGTCCAAGCAGCCCATTCATTCTTGGAATAAGGGGAGGGAGCCTATCTTCTACAAATACTCCCTCCGTTTCGAAATATTTGACACCGTTGACTTTTTAGCACATGTTTGACTGTTCGTCTTATTCAAAAACTCTTGTGAAATATGTAAAATTATATGCCTACATAAAAATATATTTAATAATGAATCAAATGATAGGAAAAGAATTAATAATTACTTAATTTTTTTAAATAAGACGAACGATCAAACATGTGCTAAAAAATCAACGGCGTCAAACATTTCGAAACGGAGGGAGTAACAAATTTTATAGCTGAAACTTTTAGACATCAAGTGGCCAGCATGGCATCGTTGAAACTTTTCGGATAGTGAAAACCAAGTCCTCTTTTTCCATTAAAGAAACAAATAAACAACTTTAAACGGTTGTGTGTTGATTTTCTTTTGAACACATACTTGAATGGCTCCTTGCTACCTCATAAGAGTTCAAAAAAAATGACAAGCAGTCCTCTGAGGTTTTCTCAGGTTTTGCCTATATAATCTGGTTCAAGTTTTTCTGGTCTATCTACCCTTAAGTGGTATTACCAACCATTCCGGAGGAGCAGTTGATTTAGCAAATTTTAGTATTCATCTATTAGATGTTTCATCAAATTGGTTCTATCAATTTTATACAACTATCTTCAACATGTGTGGACCTAGAATGACTATGCATAGTGACATCATGCCTGTATCTACCAATTTCGCTATGGTGGTTAAGTTGAAATAACATGTTTATTAAAAAATAAAGTTATTTTCTCGTGATTTGTTTAGATTGGAAGAGACATTAGAAAATTCATTACAATAGTTGGCTTTGATCGATTGCTTGGTGTTACGCTATTTACTACTTTGATTAGCTAAATTCATTTATGACACCAATTAATTTACAGCTGATCCATTCATAATATCGTTTAGAAGCAAAGGCTTACTATTGTACTATCCATACAAGTAACTTGGTCAAGTCAAAAGAAGTTTGTTGACTACTACTAAATGAGTGCACGAAGAAAGGAAGGTAAAGCAGGGACAATAGTATATGGTAAGTAGCTTTGCATTGTTCTATATGTAGAATACCTATTAGTTTTTCACAAAATAGTACTATATGTGGATGGTACATAGGTATGATGAAAGAGGGCTAGCTCTGTTTGAATAATAGTTACCAGTTAAGATAAGACTACTAAATAATCTGCTACTTCGTTTCCAACGGTTACAAACATACAAAGAAGAGATAACTCTTTCACAAGCGATTGTGGGCATTCCTAGAATATGAGACTAGTGCCTTACTTGGGGTTCTTCTTGAAATAAAACAAATGCCCATTCAATCGGAATTAGAAGTAATACTCATCTTTCCTGAGATTCCAAATCCCAACATATGAACGGGGACCTTCTCATACCGAGCCATGTGTCAAACATATCCTTAGGGTTCTCAGAAATATAGAACTTCCTTTTACATGGAGGGACTTATAATTGGTTTCTATAGGAAAGAGAGATGAAGGCAGGCCACAAGAAGGCGGTCACTTGCTGTGAGTAAATAGAGGCCAATGAGACCATACTATTACAATGATGATGGAATGTAAGTGATAGGAACTAGAGATCAGCATAATGGAAGAAGTGACTCATGAGATGAGAGTATTAGGTCGGGTTGAAGGGGGCTGGCAGCTAGCAGCTTCTTGGCCATGCCCTGCTTATAGGCACGAGATATTAGATCTAAATTCAAAAGGTAGGATCATACCATTAGCTGATATATGTATGGGAACATGTGTACATGGTTAAAAAAAAAGAAGAGGGAAAAACAATTAGAAAATAAGCTAAAAAAGTTCAAAAGTGCATAGAAGAGTATACCGTACCACCTCACTAGCTTGTAGCCAAACATTATCTCCTACTATCCAATACTTTATAAGAACCTAACCAATCAAACAATATTATTTAATATATCAAAGCAATCCATCATATTGTATCATTCTGTCATTATATCCTGTCCATCTTTACTCATCTAACAAATGCACACTTAGGAGTGGTAATGGGCCAGCACCCATAGGCCCTTTCACAACCCACCATACATATCTCAAGTGAACAAAACTAGCTGTCCTATGTCAGGCGAGACAATGCGAGCGAACGCATGTGTTCCTCTAGTTCTCTCCACCATACATATCTCAAATGGCTAGAAGGGAAATCTCCCTCTCAAAAAGGTCTTGTTCTAGAATAGACAAGGTGGTACTAAAGGTTGACATGCATGTTTTTTCATGAGGTAGGCTTTTTTGATTTTGTAAAGAATTAATCTACATATAGGCCTTAGCTCACATATTAGTTCCAAACACTATCATGGTGAAAATGCTGTCTGAACAAGAGTTCAGTCGCTCAATATATCGAGGAGTAATTCAAGAGTAGCAAACTCAGGTTGATTCAAGACAGGTATGAGTAGGGATGAAAACGGTTCGCAAAGTTTTCGGATTCTGGACGTGTTTTCTGAAACGGAAAGCGTCGATCAGAATTTTTTCGGAAACTTTTAGAAATGGAAACGAATTCGAAATTTTTTTTCTTGGAAGCGGAAATGAATATGATAAAGCATCCGTCGGAAAGTAAAATCCATCAGAAACTTTACGGAAATGAATTCAGGTTTATTCTCTGAACCGGAGACGAAAAATTTCTCATATACAACTGATTAGCTTCAGCCTTTTATACTCTAAATGTTTATTATATTTATACTATGTATTAAGGTGCTTAATTAAATAGAGATATTTTTATTGCCGTACTTCAGATTTTATTTGCCTAATTACCTTTTTAAAATTTTATTAGATCATGCCATACTACTTATTATTATATAGTTAGTTATAGATGAACATAGTTCCTTTCTTACAAGAAAATATAAAAAGTGAAGTGCACAACTAGTTGTAGTATACTATATTAAATGATAAAAATAGAATTTTTGATTTATTGTTTTAGAAAAATATTAGCTACATCTCTTCGTTGGTTTGAGAAGTTCAATTTAAAAGTTTTTATGTTCCAATAAATATACATTACCTTATTCGCTCCGTTTTCGCATTTAATAATAATCGATTCCATAGTCATATCTGGGGTTTCTGAAAACGAAAACGATGAACATGGTTTCCGTTCGTTTCCGAAGCTAGGTTTCTCGTTCAGCGAATTTGGCTGCGCATGTTGTAGCGAAGGAGTGTTACTCCAGGAAATGCATTACGACCATTATGACCTGGTTGTTAGTGCGTCGGTGCGTCCGATTTTACTTAGGTCTTTTTTTTTATTTTTTTTATTCTTTCAGAGAAGGGTATTTTTTATTCTGCCTCTATATTCAATTAGATATATGTAGCATTTTTAAATTAGGAACTTAGCCTATCAAATAGGGGACTTATAGCACTTAAATAACCCAATCTGAAATAATTCGCTCCTATGGAGATTTGAACTCAGGACCATAGGGAATTTATAGCACTTAAATAACCCAATCTGAAATAATTCGTTCCTATGGAGATTTAAACTCAGGACCTTGGTTGCTACTCAGGTCACTGCAACCAGTAGAATACGTGCCCTTTCACATATTACTACGAGGATTTTATCCAGCAGAATCGGATTGTGTAATGTGGCTTTAGGCCTGCTCTCAAAAAAATAAAAAAAAACTGGGACTTGCTAGTTCGCGCATACGCGCTGCTACAGTAACTCGCGCGCACTACCCTATCACGCCGCGCTCCCATCACTAAACATGATGATTAGTGTTAATTACGGTAATTAGAGTTAATTACGCCCTACAGTAATTCGAGAAAGTTGATCGGTGCGCGCAACGACGGAGTGGTTAGGGATTGTTTTGTTGCGGTTTTCTTTTTTCTTTTCGGGAGTTTTTTCGTGAGACGCGTAACTAATCCGTTTAGTTTTAGATAATGATGATAATTAACGTAAGATTTGTAGCTTTGTCTTATTTAAAAGATTTTTTA